TTCTATTGGCCAGCACTAAACTTTTTGTCCCGGGCACAAAGTGGGACGCATTAAACAAGTGTTTAGTGCTGGGAACCAAAAATTTTTCTCAGTGCACTCCTAACTTGACGCAAGAAAACTTATTCTTGGTCTGAACCAAACAATTTCTAGTCCATTTTTTTTAAGAACATTTTTGTCGCCTACGGATATCTTTTGGAGTGTTTATCTCAAAGGCTAATGGCAAAAAGAAGTAAGGAAAAAAAGTGAGTAGGTGATGTCGTTATGAAGAAGTAAGAGTATGGACTTTTCGGAGGGATTCTTGTTCTTTTCCCTTTTGAATCTCAAATAATAAAAAGTGACTTGAATGAGGTTGCCACGTGTCCAGGCTACTGGAGGGCCGTGCCGCCGTGGGGTCGTCCAATGGGAGGCATCACATCATAAATTCCGTCTGCGAACGCGTCACTCCGCGAGACAGGCGGGAGGCCGAGCCGGCCGGGCCGCGGCGGTGACAGAGCAGGGGGCCTAACGCCTGTCTATTCTCTGGCGTGCGGCGTGGGCTCGGACGGACGGTCGCGGGTCTCTATGGCGGGAGGTATGACGGATACACTGATCAAGTGAGTGGTCACGTTGCCACTGCAAATGTTGACATTTCGTCTTGAATGCCAAACTAGGGACTGTCATAGATTTAGCCTTGAGTATACACTTTCATCCTGCCACTGCATGAGAAAAGGAGGGAAGAGTGGAGGGGGGGGGGGGCTTTCACGGCAACGGCGCGGGCCCGGGCCGGGCGTGACCCTTGAAAGATCAACCGGGGTGGGCAGCCTCTCAAGGGCGCATCACAAGAGCGGCCAATCTCTCTCAAGGACGGTGTCATCAGCGCGACAGCGCCTGTCGTTCAGCGAGAAGCCTTTGCGGCCGCCACCTGCCATACGGCCTGGCCCGCGGCACGGCCCGAGGCCCGGCCAGCGACCTCATCGGGAAGTCTAATGGACTCCCTGGGCCGCAGGCGTTCCTGCCGGACGCAACGGCTGCGGCCCGAAAAACCGATTTATCCGACGCCCACGCCGGCAGAGGCGGCGCACACTCACCTAGCAGCAGCAGCGCTAGGTCCGACACGGCCAGCGAGAAGAGGTAGTAGTTGGTGGCGGTGTGCATGGACGCGTTGCGCACGATGACGACGCACACGGCCACGTTGCCGATGACGCCCGTCACGAAGATGACGACGTAGATGACGGTGAGCGGCCAGACGACGGTGAGGGGCAGGTGCTTGGGGCCGCGCATCCTCTCGAGGTAGTGCTCGAGCGTCATGTTGGGCGGCGGCCACGGCCCCGCCGCCGACGGGTCCGCGCTCGCGTTCCACGGCTCCGCGTCCACGAGGCCGCCCAGGCTCAGCCCCAGGCCGGCCAGGTCCAAGGTGCCGTTGGCCGCGACGTCCATCCTCCCCTGCAACACATGAAGGTCCGGGATGTGACGTAATGGATTATAACAATGCATCTCGTCGCGAGTTTTTCGCGAGTTCCACTCTAAATATTTTACTAGAATTTCATAGAAACTGCTAAGGTTTTGTAAGGGTTGTAATATATTCTTAAGAAATTATTTAGTACTGCTAAACTTTTTCCTAAAATTACTAAACGCCTTCCTAGTATTACACTTACGTTAGTAGGAAATCGTTTAGTAATCCTTGGAAGACGTTAAGTAATACTAAGAAAAGGTAAAGTACTAAGTAATTTCTTAATAATTTACAACAGCACAAAACGTTCGAAGTTACAAGGCACATTTCCTGCTCGTAAAACGTTTAGAGTGTATTGCGAGTATCTTTGCAAACTTTATTAAGCCTCGTGTACAACGGGGCGTTTAAGTGGGGGACCCCTTACTCACAGTCGCAGTGCTCATGCGAAGCTTAGCCGTTCCAACGGTGTAAAGCGGCTACATTGTATACCACCACAGCAACAGTGTACTAAAGGTCTTATTGCTTTTAGGGAACACCTTCCATTTGAGCGCACAGAGCAAGAGCGAGCATCCGGACACCCCACGGCACCGGGCGTGGCAGAATAGTCATTTCCGGCTGATGCGCGTGCCACTTCCGGCTGGCGAAAAGCACACGATAAACGTGATATCCAAACATGACGCCATACGCAGAGGATCACGGTCTTATTATTCAAACAGCACAGGAGTGAATAATAGTCTGGTTAGTCATTGACCATGGACCAAAGTTTTCTTTAGTTTCATTCGTCTAACTTCGGGAGACAACAAATGTAATAACAAACAAAACAAACGAACACAAAAAATTGTTATTTTATCGGTCTTTTTGTTTTTGTTTTAAATTACACCACCATTTGTGTGCGGAAAATCTGTGTTTCCGCATCCCCATGCTCGGTCTCCTCTAAGTTCCTTTTCCTTTCGCCCTCAGCCACCTCCCCCCCACACGACGCCTATACACGCTGGCTAACTGGTAAGTAGGGAGGAGGATGGTCCATGGACCAAAAAGGCACCAAAAGGATGCTGCAGAGCACGAGCATGGGCGCCGTGGACCGGCTCGAGATTAGAGAGGCGAAACTTTGTTCGAGGGCACAGCGCCGTACAGCGCGCGCGGTCCGTTCGAGGGTCACAAGATGGTCCCTAACGAGGCATATCACAGGACATTCCACGTGTTACGTGAATTTAGTTTAGGACAGGGTTGAGGGAGAAGGGGGAATAGGCGCACTTGTCTGCTTGGCGATTTTTTATATTTTTAAAAAGAAGCGCTTGGTTCGGCCATATGCAAAATAAATCATCTAATCCCGTCTAATCCCCTAATCGCTGATGGCGTCGGCATTTTCCCCCATCCGACGGTAGAAAAGGTCCCACGGGGCGGTCAGCCGGTCGGCCTACCGACCAACCCCCATCCCTTTGATATTCCGCTTTCCTGTACTGTCTGTCTCCCTCTTCCTCTCACTCTTTCTATATATCTTCACTCTCCTTTCCTGCCTCTCCTACGCACGTCATGCATACTTATTAGGAGGCAGGTGTACGCTAGAGCGCGGCAGGAGGCTCTTTTCTTTTTTGAAACGACACGACGCCCCTTCAATCAATAACTTGTTAATTTACACCTGAGCCCGTACACTGGCATAATTTGCCAGCAGTGGCAGAATACACATTGCGATACAGTGTCAAATACAGGCAAATACTACACGCTTAAAATTTTATGTAATATGGAGCAGCTCCAGCTGTCATGATACGAACAAAATTCGTTCGTATTACAAATCTTTTATTTCGTAATATGTATGAAGAAACTATTTCATATTATGAATGATCTGTGGTTCATTCGTAACATGGCCTAATAATCACCCAAATGGTTTCTAATATGGATACAAACCGAGGGGTACACCACTCTTAAAAGTAGGTGTACGCGATGAAAAAAGTCAAGAAAAAAGTCAAGATAAAGTCAAAAAGTCATTTGAAAAGTCAAAAGAAGTCAAAAAGTCAAATAAAAAGTCAAAAAAAGTCAAAAAAGTCAATTGAAGTCAACGAGTAGTCGTCGAGAAGTCAACGATATGTCAGAGAAAAGGAACTGAAAAAGTCACCAAAAAGTCAACATGACAGTGCAATATCTGCCTGTAAGAGGCCAAAAAGCTTACTGTGATTGTATCGGAAAGTCCTAGATCACTGTCTTTTAAAGAGGTAGGAGGGCGGGTAAAGTGAGAAAAATAAAATAATTGGATTTCATAGGATTGCTTAACCCAAAAACTTAAATTTTGAAAATGATCTGTTATTCTTCCTTGGGGAGTGAACTCTGATAAAGAATTTTCTTCTTATTCGATTCATGCTTTAAATAGTACCAAAAAGTCTTGAAAAAACCTTATTAATAGCCCCCCAAAATTCGACTCTCCCTTATTTTCAAAATATAGGGGAAAAAATCATAAAAGTCAAATAAATTTGATCAAAAAGTCAAAACAAAAGTCAAATTAAAGTACAAAAAAAGTCAAAAAAAGACAAAAAAAAGTCAAAAAGTAACAGCGAAAGAAAATTGACAAAAAGTAGGTGTACGCCCAGAATCGGAGTGGTGTACCCCTCGATACAAACACTTCCTTAGTATTTTTTTTTATTGTTCATCCTGCCCCACGCCCATCACATCCCATACCTTATCGTCCGAGCCATGTTCTTTTAGGCTGCGAAATCTGCTCTGAAGTTGAAGTATCGGCCTTCTCACTTAGGCAATCCTATTGTATAATGGTGACTGTAAAGATTTCATGCGTACGGTGGCCTGGACTCGGAGTCAGCCGGCTAGCAGTAGCAGCAGATGCGGGCCTGGCTGGGCCTGGCAAGGCCGAGTTGTAACGAGCTCCAGCAGACCCTATGCAAAGGAAACTTGTCGCCATATCCCCCGAGTTTTCGACATGTCCCAGCCTGGGCGCCTGTCAGCCAGCTGCTTGTAACTGTTACCCTCCATATTGTTTTTTTTTTTTTTTCATTCCGTTTTCAGGGGGGAATAATTTATTTTATTCTTTTGGCGTTCCTACAAATTAGTCCATGTGGACGCTCGGAAGCTAGTACACTTTTAGCGAGCGAAGCGAGGCAGGGCAGGTCATTGATGGTCTTTCGCTCAACAGGTGAGAGGTGCGGCTCCCTCTCTTATGAAATACACGGGCAGATACTTCCATATTCATGTGGCCCCGTCCCCTCCTTCCCCTCTTTCATTATTGGAGGGATGCCAGGCATACAGAATGCAACGACGTCTCGTCAGACGATAGTAAAAAAGAGAAATGCCGCTGCCCTCTCGTTTCCATGTCAGGGGGACTCGGACACAACTGTGAGGTGAGTTTTGCCTTCCAAAGGGACACGTGGGCAAACCTGCATGCTACAGTGTCGTAGCCCAGTACACGTGGTATACTTTCAGGGCTATTGCTTCTGTTTAGCGGAAACTGTCGAAGTCAGAGTCTGGACTTGTGTCATCTCGAGTGGGGAGCGATCGATAAAACTATTCCCGGGTTTTGTTTTGCATGATGTAAATGTGCAGGTGAACGAATGAATTTCCACTGTTGTAAATATGTGACAACTTATTTAGGTAAGCACTCTCGTAGTACAACGATTATTCGCTCAGCTGTAACAGTCAAAATATATTATCCCGCATCTCCTACAGTGTAGAATGATTGTTCACCTATAAGCCAATCGTATTATACTTGTGTATTTTGATTTATCTAAGCCCGATTGAAGATAGGCGATAGGCTCCTGCGGCAATCACACCACTTCAGAAAAAGGAAAAAAGAACAGTCGGTATAAAGTGATATGGTGCGAACTTGCCGAAACTTGCTACGTAGCACTTTCTCCCTTTGCTAGGGCTCTCCTCCTCATCAGCCCCAATTGGGGCCGCGCGTTCGCAAAGTTATACTCTTTTGTTCATTTCTCTGTAATAAGCAAAATAAAAAAAAGTAAACTCAGTAGATCTCTTTTATCCAGCCCCCTTTTTTCGCTTGCACTGCCTTCATCTCTTTTTCTGCTTCGCTCTCTCTCTCCATCCTGGTTCCAATGCAGCGCGAAAGAGTAGTTCCCGCAAACTCCATCAGCAGCGGCGGTGGCGGCGGCGGCCCGGGTCCTCTACGCCGCGCACATTATGCGCTCGAAGTTGGCGGCGGTGGCGGCGGCGGGTCCGGCCGGGAAGCCAGACGGGGACTCTTAATTAGCGCTACTTGAACCACCTGCGCGCCTGCTCGGAATCCGGGCCACGCTCAGCAGCGCGGGTGGTCAGGGTGCCACCGCCCGCCTGAACCGCGCTGCACTAAAGTCGACTAAATTGGTTACGCTGTGAATGCCATGCTAGTAGTAACCGTGATGCGCCCTGCTCCACCGTATAGCTTCCAGACAACAGTGACAGTCACCGTAGTTATGAATATTTACCGTGGCGCCTTTAAGAGTGTGGCATAGCCTACCTCCGCCCTCTAGATAGCGCTCACAACTCACACTTACAGTGAGTCGGAGAAAACTGTAGATGGTGAATAATTGCTCTCTATTGTCACACCCAGAAAATAGTAGTCTTGAAACAAGGCAAAATGCGTTGATTCAACGCTATTTTTACCTTAAAAAATACAAGGAAAATTGTCTTTAACTTAGAGCAAATGACGTTAAAATAATGTAAAAATCTCCTTAGACCAACTTAATTTCCTTGAAGTTAACGGAAAAACCTAAAACCAAGGTCAAAAATTACCCTGTATTTTTTTTAAAGAAAAATCCTTGGTTTAAGGATACCATTTTCTGGGTGCACCAACTGTACTTTCGACATGACGGCGATTATATTCAATATTAAATTTCCTACTGGATAGTACCTCATACCTCATACCGAGTGTTTCCACGACTGAAACGCCCCCATATCTTTCCATACACACCAGACCAGACAGCGGTGGGATTATTGTCTGAAAACGCAATTATTGCAAATCTACTTCTGCTATTTCAGAATGGATCCGTGTGCA